TTGCTACCCAATTTGAGTGGTTCCAGCGTAATTGCGGTTATCATAGTGATCTAATGGTGAATTGACCTCGAAGGCGTTTAAATTCATACAATAAAATATAAAAGGTTACGCTGTTCTTACCTGATGGCCATGTTTCACCAACTCGCTAATCAGAGCTCGATGCATTTGGAAGTGGCTTCTGGCCGGATATGTGTAGACTGCAAGTATTCTGGCGCCATCTATTAAAGGTGCTTGAGCCGACAGCACAGCGAATGCGAAAATGCCAACGAGAATCCTTGTATACTGGATGGGATATAGCAGAAAAAAGGTTGAAGTTCTAACGCTCATATAGTAGATATGTATGTACATTAGAGTGGTCCAATTTTTGTATGGGGGAGAAGATGTCTTCCTAGAAACCGGGGCACTGGCAAAAACGTTGGTGATTTTTATAAAATGCTACTGTTGCCATGACAACTGAAGCTTGTAATATTTTTTAGATAATTTAAATTTGAAATATCTTTATGTTGGTTAACGAATTGTTAGATTAATATACCCGTATATACACAATACTTCCAGAGTAAAATTTGAGCATCATAAGCATCCCCAAAGCTTATATTTAGAAATGTTTATTTTGTTACCAGCACTTCTTTCGGCAAGAGGAAAAATTTTGGAAGGTGCCCCAAACCCTATCTCGAAAAAAAATTTGTTGGACCACTCTAATGTATATATGCAATTTATAATACCTGATTTAAGATGGCAATAAATTAAAAAACTCAAATCATAATATTTGAAGATTGTCGATATCTGTATTGTTATCGGCATAATTAGTTGGTTTACAAGCACTTCCATCAAAAAAGCAATAAATTTATGAAACGGTACACCTGTACGATATGAGTAAGACCTTAGTATACGATTCTGAATTTCTCGTACATTTATTTAGGCAGAGAAAGAGAGAAAATAAGGGCACGCGCACTCAGAAATCCGAGTGGTTTTCAATATTTTTCTTTTTTGACCTGAAAATAGCCCATGTAGAGAACAGAATAACACCCGCTGGCATTATGTCCCGTACTGTTTGCATGTCAAAAAATAACAAAAAAATATAACCCCTTCCCTTTGAAGGTCATTTGAAAAACCCTGGCAAGTTTTTTATCCAACGAAAATATTTTTCGTGAATTCTCCATCCCGAAGGGCCTTAAAATGCTCGAGATATTAAAATTTGTCACAAGAAATTTAAATTACCATGCTGTGCGTCGTAAAAAAAATTTAACTATATGCGCCTCTTTGTGTTCGTACATCCTAATGAAATTTAAAATAATTTTTATTTGAGTTTGACAAGGATATAATTTTTTTTTTAAATTTACTTCTTTATTAATTTAATTTCCTTTTAAGTTTTAAATTTTATTGTTTCGAAGAGATAAATATTTTTTATTTAATTTCGTTCAATTTTAAAGGAATTCAGCTTATTAGTATCTTTTATTATTAAATTTTGTTAATTTGATTTATTTTTAATTTTTTAAATATATTTTTTAAATGAAACATATTTCTTTTATAATTCAGTAAATTTTTATAAATGCATTGCTAAAAGACAAACAGAGTTAGTCAAACGCTCATCATTAACAGTTCTTTCAGTTCGCCTTTCGAAAAACAGAAAAGAGCTTTCAAGATAGTCGACAGAATTGACAATTGTCCAGCCCCAGGTGAAGAAGGACTTGCCCTTACTGGGCATGCCCAATTCGCGGCAATTGGCACAAATGATACTCCTACTAAAACATTCCGCGAAAAATTGTATACCTAGTAAAATCACAACCACGTAAAGTACAATTACCATTCTTATTTTGCCTCGCTCTCACTTCACTTATTCACAATTTTTACTTTTGTCTGCTTAGCCTGCTTAGTCTGCTCCAGGCCACAACACGTTGAGAACTTTGTGCGCCGTTCTACCTAAACTTGAATTTAGCGATCACTATTTATTTAAGGAAGAAATTTTGTAATCGATTACGTTGATAAACTATAAGATAAGATTTCTTTGGTTGCTGTTATCAAAGATCGATAATGCTTTTCTGTTATTTAACTAATAGTTTTCATTGCAAACCAGTCAGTGAACATCCTAGCAGCTCAACTGAGCCAAAATCAATTTTCTCCAAGAACTCAGGCAATATTGGCCATTGTAACTCTTGAAGACCTAGAGAGAGCATTTAGAGCAGCAATCTATGGGTGGACGATGGTGGCCATCGGCCTGCTTACGGGCAAAGCTTTGTATACGTTTGGTATAGATAGCTTGTTAACACTAGGACAATTTGTCTAAATCGGAACAAATCCTGCAAAACCAGGACGTCTGTCAGCCCTATTCTAATTGAAATTACTTAAAGTGAACTTCATATTAAAAGTAATTTTGAAATGAAATGTATGTATTGAATTTTTTTACTATTTAAACACTGAAGATGGAAATGATCTCATTATTGCTATTCAAAATAATTTATTGGCTTCTGTGTACAATGATGCGTACATTCATGTTAAAATGAATAACACTTTTATTTTTTTATGAATTAGTTTTTTATTTCTATATCAAAATATTGTTAAAAACAAGTACCTACTCTGGCGTTTTAAAGTATTATCTGTTACTTACATTCATAATTTAGCTTTGAACCAAAATGTACTGAAAAGTACTGATTTTTTTAATTTCGCGCATAAAGAATCTGGCAACCCTACCAAGAAGGAACCCGGTAGGTATAACAATGGCTTCATTAACGGTATTCAAGAGATCACACGACTCATTTAGCCAATGCACGGGAAAGCTTTTCATCCTGTGGGACAGCGAGGATTCTTGGCCCTCCTATAATTGAAAACGCACATCTGTGCTCTAGAGTTGCCTTGTAAGGACTTTTATTGGCTTACATGGCACATCGGACCAATGCTGAAGTTGCAAAATCATAGAAGAATATAACGCACGCTTGGAAGAGATGTCATAGGTGGAAACAAGACCATCGGTAGTATTCCATATGGAATACAGCCGTTCGCGAGATCACCTCTTACAAAAAGAAGGAGCTTCTCTTTATATAATTAGTGTAGGTAGCACAGAGCAACACCGATTTTGATGCGGCAAATGTTGAAGCTGATTTTGATAGGCTTTTTTGTGCTGATTAAGAATCCGTAAGTATAAAATTTACCTCATCTCCAGATTTTGAGAAAAATGTGGTGAAAGTGTCAAAAAATCGGGTTTTGAGCAACATTAGAGAAACTCTACCAATGAAACGAATGGTGATAGAATCTTCCACCAAGGCTTAAATTAAAGCTAGAGCTACAGACTACTATCCCTGAAAGTACCGACTATAGGTGACCTTAGGGTCAAGGTGTAGGAATGGTTTTTTCAGGCATTGAAGTTAGAGGTTCAAGGCTTAATTTAAGCCTAAGTGGAAGGTTTTATCACCCTTTGCTTGATTGCGTTAGGTACTCAAACTTCCCAAAATCAGTTAATCCTGTTCAACAAATGACTATAAGTGCCCACCAAGCAAAGGTGCATTAATTTGCAAGGATAGAGATCGAGAGCTCTAGCTTTAATTTAGGTCTAAGTGAAAGGTTCTATTACCTTTTGTTTCTCTGCTAGAGCTTCTCAAATATTGAAAAAAACGCGAATTTTTGACACTTTGACCTCGTTTTTCCTAAAAACTGGAGCTGATGGAAACCTTATGCTTACGGATTCATAGTCAGCACACAAAAATTCGGCAAAAATAGCGTCAACATTTGCTGCATAAAATTGTTTCCCATTTTTGTTGGCCTGTGTAATAAGTATTGTTAAATAGCCAATACCCGCATGTTTGCGCCGCCTTCAAAGACCTTTCGAACTGTGAAACAATGACTCGGTTCTATTCTACGCATATCTTTAATAAGGTATCAAATTTCAAGCAAATCGGACCATCAATAAAAGTTTTTGGAATAGATCGGTATCTGGTGCATCTATCAGAAAAAATATCCTGATTTTTTCGAATTTTCCACTTAAAATTTTCTAAATTTCCATTTGAATGCCATTCCGAAGGAATTGCACACAAAATTTCATATAAAAAAATCAATTTTAGATTTTTCCAATTTTCCAAATTTTTAGCCAAATCGGCCCAACCGTTCTAAATTTATGAATTACTATATATTTTTCTGTATTCTGACAAATTTTACAAGAGAGCGAAAAGCGGTTTTTCATTGAAGGCATTGCTTTGAGAGGCTGTATTTTCTCTAGCTATTATTTTACAAATATGTTGTTTTAATAACGATTTGTATGCATAAATCTCGATGTCTGGAGTTCAGGGCTACCGAAGCTCATTTTTGGCACAACAGCCATTTAGGCGGTTTCGCAACTGGCCGATGGGCGGTTTTGCAAAAACATCGACGATATCTGTATTTTTAATTAAGTTTTGACTAGTTCTAACTTCGTCAATAAAAAAAAAATTTACTGGGAGGGTACAATCTGAAAAGATACAGTACACTTATGGGCATCCCTGAAGAGAAAATAAGAATCACTGCTGTTTTTTGACGGGCCATTGTAGGTTAACCGCTCACCTAGGAATCTGAACAAGCGATCTATGTCGCTTCTGTGACACTGCCAAGGAGACCCCACTACACCTCCTTTTGGATTGTGTTGTTGTTTCACGCAGAAGCGAGAAGAGCCCTCTAGCAAATCTACCTCATTTACTGCTATTTATGCATGTGTGGATAAACAAAAAACATATTTTTACTACTTATATATGTACATTTATATTTTATTGGATGCTCCTTTGACAATAGCCAGATCCGTGTAATCTTTTTTTTTATTGTACTTTTTGTTTACTCTCTCCACCTCTTAACCTCCTCAAAAGCCAACGCAGTGACAGAACAGAAGCTGCGACTATTGCTACCGCAACAGCCATAACCAGAGCCGCTACATCGAGCAAATAGAACTGGTACCATGTCAAATCCATCCCAGCAGCGCGCAGATGTCGCGCACCATTGTGGCGTATCACATAGTCGATCCAGTAGAGCAACGTCTCTCGCGGACCAGTTGGACGATCGCGGAAAATATGAGAGAACCGTTTAGAAGTGTCACGATATTTGGGATTGAAAAGCACCGC